ACAAGATAATAAAAAAATTAAAGTGATATTAAATTATATAAAAAGTAAACATACCGATTTTCTATAATTATAATTAATTATAAAGTTGAATCCCCATTCAATTCACTTTAATAATGCTACCTAAAGTCAAAATCAAAGCTTAAATAATTATCAAATAGTTGGGAGTGAAGTCATGATCTTCTTAGTTCTTTGTCACTGCTTAATATAAAATAAAATATTACTTATACGTTAGACCACATGTTCTGTTGCTGTGCTAATTTTTTAATAAATTGCTAAATGTTCTTAGTTAATTGATTGTTTATACAATATTACCGTATAATGTCCATTTACTTGAGTTTTACTCACAAATCTGTTAATATCATAACACTTATAACATCTTCCCATTATTGTGTGGTTCTCATATTGTAATTTTTAGATGAACTGATGATGCTTTCAGAATATGAAAGCGAAACGTCTTTAAAATAGATAAAGTAGCCTATCAACTTTGTCTTTTATTTCTTCACCTTGAGACCGATATAAGAACCCACCACTCGTCTGAGTGATCCTTATAATATATTGGATTGACGGTCGTACTCCTTTTCCGATATAATATATTATATATATATATATATATATATATATATATATATATATATATATATAATATATAATAATATATATAAATATATATATATATATATATATATATATAAATATATATATATATATATTATATATATATATATATATTCTATATATATATATATATATATATATATATATATATATATATACTGATAAATATAAAAAAACCACTATCCTAAGATGCTTCTTAATAAACTGCTCTTCCAAGATATGCCAACCGCAAGAACACACCAAAGACAAACATTAGAAGAAAAAACAGTAGAACTTTTTTATGGGAGATTGCCTTAAATCAGGGGTTTATCACCACAGATCACAAATCTTTTCAGACAGTTCAACATAGTGATAGCAAATTCAATGTACAAAAGATTAGGGACATACTTTACTCACCTGACAGAAAGAGTTAGAAAACTGCATAACTTTAATGTAGTGTATTCTATTCCATGTGATTCTTGTTCGGAAGTGTATGTCGGTCAAACCAGCCAGAAACTCTCAAAAAGAATAGCTTTTCACAAGAGTGATGTTGTGAGGAAGCTTACTAGTACAGCTTTTAGCCAACATATTAAGAATAGTGGACACATTACTAACTATAAAAATTTGCAATTACTAAAAAGGGGAGACAACCAATTTAAGAGAGACGTCATAGAAATGTGCTACATCCATAACTGTAGCTCTACTATGAACTGCAAGAAAGATGTTGAGAATTTAAGTTGTATGTATTACTCTTTGCTTCAGCAGAACTTGACAAGATGTAACATATTAGAGAATGTAGCGAACTTATCATAACATACACAGATGACCTACCTCCACTTGAGAAAAGACTTCGTTTCCCTGATGTTTTTGGTTCTTAAAAAGATTCCTTCCAACTTTCATGAGGTGCAGATGTAAATATAACCTTATTACATATGACATCGGGATATTAACAGAAATCAGAAACATTGTCATCAAAAAAGAAGCACAATTCTTTTTTTTTCTACCTTCAACATGAAGTTGCAGTTTAGGTGGGTTTTTAGATTTTAGATTTTTTAATATTGTTCTGAAGCTATTTTCTTGTGGCATTGTAAATTAATTACTGTTAAACTGGAAATAAGCCACAATTAAAGATAAAAATACGTTTATTGACGTTTCAATTTCCACTTCGGAAATCGTTCTCAAAATACAAACAGTAAATTAAACAAATTTTGTTTTTTGTTACATAGTGAAAAATTTTCTAATAATTTAATTTTATCTGACTCATTTATATTGACAATTCAGACATACATTATGCATTTTAAAGTAGACGACTTTAAAATGATATTGCCAATATTGTTGATTTGCGCTCCTGGGACGACTTTACTTATAAAATAGTTCATTCGATTACATGAAATCAACTTTAACTTGAGAATATCCGTCAGAAAAAATCATAGCATGTAATTCGTCTTTAAAAAGACAAACACATGACATGATGACAGTAAAATTCTCCTGTTAGTGATTCCATAGTAAATTATGAGGGAAAAACCAGGAAAAAAACCTCATAATACTATCCCGACATTGTAAGTAAGATTGGTAATGCCACATGGTAAATGTTATTATCTCTTCTTTATCGTTTATATCATTTAGGAATGTGTCCAACAACTCTGATCCATGAGGCCATATTGAGAATACATCATCTACATACCTCCACCATACTGTGGGTTTGAAATTTAGTTTAGAAATGATATTTGTTTCAAAATCTTCCATAAATATATCGGCTAAGAATGGAGATAAACTAGAGCCCATTGCTATATTTATGGAAGATTTTGAAACAAATATCATTTCTAAACAAAATTTCAAACCCACAGTATGGTGGAGGTATGTAGATGATGTATTCTCAATATGGCCTCATGGATCAGAGTTGCTGGACACATTCCTAAATGATATAAACGATAAAGAAGAGACAATAACATTTACCATGGAAAAGGAATATAATAACACGCTACCTTTCCTGGATGTTTTAATCTCTAAGAACGATACTGGATATGAGACTCAGGTGTATAGAAAACCAACACACACCAATAGATATTTAAATTTCAAAGCAAATCACAATATTAATGTAAAAAAGGGAATAATTAAATTCTTATACGATAGAGCCAAAATTACTTGTTCTAACGAAAATTCGTTCTTGGAGGAGAAACATTTGTTAACATCTGTTTTATTAAAAAATGATTATCCTTTATCGTTTATAAATAAGGAATTTTCAACAATCGATCGAATAGAACAGAACAACTTAGAACGAAATCCTACAGCATACACAAGGAATAATATGAGGAAAATAACAATACCGTACATAAAAGGATTATCAGAAAAACTTAAAAGGATAGGAAATAAATTCAACATTTCAACAACATTCAAAACAACAAACACGTTGAGATCTATTTTGTCCAAAACCAAACCTAACAATGAACAAGAAAGGACAAAGAATTGCATTTATAAAATACCTTGTGAATGCGATCAGTTTTATTTAGGTGAATCATCAAGGCCATTAACACGCATGGGATAATGAACATAGGGTTCAATGGAATAATTCAAATGTAGTCCTAAAAGAAACGGATGGTAAAAAAAGAAAAATCAAAGAAGCGGCTCTAATTATGCTAAATGAGGCCAATTGTGTCGCAAATTCCTCGGCAGAATGTAGTAGGATCTGGTTACAAATATTGAAAGAGGAAGTTATTAATAAGAAAATACCAGTATTAGTAAGTCAGTAACATATAGAGGATACATCATTTATGTTTTTTAAATAACGTAACATATAAAATCAGAATTTTGATGTTTGTTGAAGGAAAACTAAATGCACGAACAAATACTTATAATGTCGGGATAGTATTATGAGGTTTTTTTCCTGGTTTTTTCCTCATAATTTACTATGGAATCACTAACAGGAGAATTTTACTGTCATCATGTCATGTGTTTGTCTTTTTAAAGACGAATTACATGCTATGATATTTTCTGACGAATATTCTCAAGTCAAAAGTTGATTTCATGTAATCGAATGAACTATCTTATAAGTAAAGTCGTCCCAGGAGCGCAACTCAACAATATTGGCAATATCATTTTAAAGTCGTCTACTTTAAAATGCATAATGTATGTCTGAATTGTCAATATAAATGAGTCAGATAAAATTAAATTATTAGAAGAATTTTTCACTATGTAACAAAAAACAAAATTTGTTAAATTTACTGTTTGTATTTTGAGAACGATTTCCGAAGTGAAAATTGAAACGTCAATAAATGTATTTTTATCTTTAATTGTGGCTTATTCCCAGTTTAACAGTAATTAATTTAGATTTTTTGTTGTATTGTATTTGAAAAATACAATACAACAAAAATAAAGTCGTCTACTTTAAAATGCATAATGTATGTCTGAATTGTCAATATAAATGAGTCAGATAAAATTAAATTATTAGAAGAATTTTTCACTATGTAACAAAAAACAAAATTTGTTTAATTTACTGTTTGTATTTTGAGAACGATTTCCGAAGTGGAAATTGAAACGTCAATAAACGTATTTTTATCTTTAATTGTGGCTTATTCCCAGTTTAACAGTAATTAATTTAGATTTTTTGTTGTATTGTATTTGAAAAAATACCCTTTTTTAAAAAAATAAAAAGTTACCTAAAAAAGAATTGTATTCTTAGCGTCGTTATATACACTATATATTATATATATATATATATATATATATATATATATATATATATATATATATATATGTATATATATATATATATGTATATATATATATATATATATATACATATATATATATATATATATATATATATATATATATATTATATATATATATAATATACGACGTCACACAAAACTAGTTGGGCCTGAAGACAGTATGAAGAAGTACTCTTTTTAGTTCACCAAGCTTTTGCAAATCTTTGTTTGCATCCTTAATGTACTACAATCAGCAAAATTAGTACAAATGTGTTTTCGGTTACAATGTTGGCCAATTCAGTTATAATTAGTTGAAAGTTGCCCTATTTTATATCGAATATCTTTATTTATCTTTGAATAGATAACTTGTTATGAATCGTTTGCTCTATATTTGTATATATATATATATATATATATATATATATATATATATATATATATATCACTGGTATAATCCAATATCAGAGTTTTTAATGACTAACATGGGTGATACTGAATCGTGCCGCAAATAAATGCCGTGCTCCTGTCCGAAAATAAAAGCTTTTACTTTTACAGTTGACATATTTTTTATTAATTTACAATTTTTTCTAACAATATATAAATTAAAAATAATATAAACAGTATATAAATAATAACTTTTTAATTGTCTACAAATATAAAAAGTAACTTTGATAAACACTACTGTATTATTTATATTTATTTTCTTAATTCAGTACTTTTAGCTTCAAGAGAACTTTTTCGCCATTTACTAATTTGAGGTAAATATGTCTTTTGGAGCATTATTCCAGGCTCCTCTATCACCAGAGTTACGAAGATACCAAATACAAAACTTAATATTAAAACTATAATTCCATCTTGTACCTAAAAAAAGAACATTTCAAATTTATTTTAATATAGGTTAAAATTATATATAAAAAAATAAAGATACTTAATGCGTTCCTGCAAATATAAAATAATTAAGAAAAATTTTATTTGAGAAGTTTTATTTAAAAAATCATTTATAAAACGTATATTATTATAAAAAAAACCCTTTTGGAAGACATAACCGAACGTTTTTGGAATGACTATTCCATGATCAATTCCTTTACTAGATATTCATGGTTGAAGCTAGGGATGGCGGTTTTTGACAAAACACCGGTTTTCGGTTATACCGGTTTTTTTTTTGCTTACGGTTTAACCTGGGAGTTATAACCGGCCAAAAAAACCGGTTTTTGAAAAACCGGTTTTCGGTTTTTTTTATTCAAATAGATTAAAAAGTTACATTTACAATGCACTTTAGTTTGCGATACTACATTCGCAACACAATTTTTTGTGTTTTGTGAGAAAAAAATCCCCAGACTCTTTCAAATGGGATTTAAAGAAAATAATATCAACATAAATATTTTACTTAAAAATAAATTGGATAATGCAATTAATCTTTTATTTTTACTACCATCAAAAAAAATTTATCATGTATTACTTTTAACTCATTTACGACTTTCGGTATGGGTATAAATCGTTTTGAAAACGTAGGGAAATCCTTGTAGATTCGTATTCGTAATCGGTAATTCGATATTCATAGTCATTATTTTTGGTAATCAGAAAAATCCGTTCACCCACTTTTTATGTCAATACTTTTTCAACGAAATACTATAATAAAATTTAATTGTTTCTGGCTAATATGAGCTTTTGCTGCTGTATTAAATAAAATAAAAATTGAATTTTAGTTTTTTTTGGAATAATTACTTGAGAATAATAATTATAATTAAGTGGGATCCAAAATAATACCTAACCTAATCCTAATCACTGTAAAAACCTAATAACCGGTTTTTACTTTAAAAATAAAAAACCGGTTATAACCGGGACAAAAAAACAACCGATAAAACCGGTTATTTCTAAGTAAAAAAACCGGTTTTTGGGTAAAACCGGTAGATTTTTCCCATCCCTAGTTGAAGCTACTGAAAATACGGGTAAAAACTCGGCGTTAAATTATTTTTAAATTCCATTGTTGATGATAATATTTTATGAGGTTTCAGTTTCAGACGGAACATACTTCGTCTCAATGTAAGACTCCTAAACTGGGGTTGTTGGCCCTGAGACGAAGTCTTTAAGGGAACCTATAGGAACCTGTTAACATTTAAATTTGAATGCACAGCGTGATTTACGCATTCTAGCAAGTTACGCAAGTCTAGCATTTTCCATCATCTTTATGTTTGATAAAATAACAAACTCAATACATATGTATACAATGTTAATAACAAATGGTAAAATTTAAAAATTATATATACTTTGTAACAAGAAATTAAATACAAAACTAAATATATTGATAGTCAGTTTCGAAAACTGATATCTTTGCTTAGCTATTTTAAAAAGTATATATCTCCCGTAAAAGCTTTATATCTCCCGTAATAGCTGACATTTTCATGGAACATTTCGAAACAGCAGCCCTGTCCTCATTACGTCTCAAACACACTTGCTGGTTACGGTATATTGATGACACTTTTGTCATTTGGCCTCATGGTAAAGACATGTTAGATTTCTTAATCTTTCACCTGGATGGAATACATGCTAGTAGTCAATTCACGATGGAAGTTGAGTCTAAAGCGTCTTTGCTATTCATTAATGATCTTATTAAGAAAAACTTACCTCACAGTTTTTCCTATTTCGTGTACCGGAAACCCACTCATACAAACCCATATCTTAATGCCCAGTCACATGATCACCTCGCCCAACTCAATACAGTTGTTAACACTCTCATTTCTCATTTCTCGTTTTATAAGACTGAGCGACAACAATCATAGGTCATCCGAAATCAATTCAATAAGGCAAACAGTCTTACAAAACGGCTACCACAAAACCCAAATCAATAAGAGCATTTAAAAACATCTAAACCCCATTCCATCCAAAAAAGAAACCTTGCCTCCTAATCAACCCAAAATCTTTCTACCTTTTATTAAACGTGTCACTGACAAGATCACTTGAACTCTTTTTTCTGTTAGTACAAAATACAGCATACAGCACCATTTCAATAATTACCCCAATTGCCTCTGGTGTACGAGTAGTTGAATTAAATTTGTTGTTTTACATCAGCATGTAAATTCGTTGTTTTACACATTTTGTAATGTAATTATTTAATTACACAAGGTAAAATATCCTTATTATAAATGTATTTCAAATTTCAATTGATATGTTTCTTAACTGCTATGTGTCATTTTTAACAAACGAAACATGCTATGTTGATTCAAAATAATAGCTTTTAGTTTGAATTGCATTACATTAATTTTACTTTCTCACAAATGTTGTACGTTATTATATAATCACATAATTAATAAATTTTTTATAAAAATAAGTAACAGATTTTCAATTGGGTCAAGTATTTAGGTTTTATCTGTATCCTGTAAAATTCTATAAAACCCACATAGCAGCTTTTAAATTGGCAACGACGATATAAGGAAGTGTGATAAAACAGACGTCATTTAGACCCGCCACTTAAACGACTAGCGTTTGCTGTTGATCTTGCCGCTATACCTTGCTGTATATTTCGCTACATATTCCTTCCATGCGCCTTTAACAGCGACCGTAATAATCGCAGTATTAGGACTGTGGTAATAACGTACAGTAGTACAGTTTACCTTTAACTCTGTATCTGGTCTGAGATATTTATTCTTTACTACAAAGTTGCTGTTGACCTCTACATTTTCTTGAAGTTCTTCTTTGGATGAGTTTTCTCCCATTTTTATAAGTATATTGTGTTTAAATTGTCTGGCTTCATCATTATACAGCGTCCGTATAGATGGAGATTTCTTAACCTTTAACTACAGTCGACCCTCCATTAGTCATAACTACGTGCGCGGTGTATTCTGTACACCACCGACTAAAAACGCAAATAAAAGCCACAACTAGGTATTTTTAGTACATATATTGTATTTTATTAAATGTAGGCATATATTTAAGAGAATGTTTTAACATAAAAAATAATACATAACGAAAATATAAAGATTAGCAACAAATATAAGAACAAAAACTCAACCACTTCTTTTTCTCTAAAAATAACCTTCTTGAGATTCTTGTATATTAGCTTAACATTAAAAATATTATAAAACTAGTATATAAATCTAAAAACTAGGAGTAAATAATCATTGACAAATGAACATATTTGAGAATATGTGTGCTATTCACTTTCGTTTTCTTCCTCGTTTGCGTCTACTAAATTACAATTTGCACAAATTGTAACAGAGTGCTCTTTACAAACCATTCTATTACATTTGTTGCAAGATATTGTTGTAACTCTATTTTTGCTCCTTCCACAACAATGGCACCTTCCCCGTTTTTTTGCTGGTGGTTCTTCATCGTGGTCGTTTAGTACGTTTTTGTATTTCTTCAAGAATATTTTTAAATCCAGAGGTAAACTCTGTATTTCCGCCCTCTCAGAAAAATGAGATCTTATTAATGCCAATGATAATTCTTTTAGAAAAACTCTTTTATATTTTTGAGGATTGTCGATGTTGGCAGCATTGTACAGGATCTGGCTGTTAATTCCGGCAATATTCAGGAGTTGAAAAAACAATGCCATTGGCCATCTTCGTGTTCTTCGGGATACCGAATAGGTACTGCACATTTTGTCTACAGTGTTTACGCCTCCTTTATGTGAATTATAGTCTAAAATTATCATTGGTTTTCCTGTTTCGGGATCTACTGTAGAATTACTGTGCATGGTAGATAGGAGAATGACAGCTTTTTTTGGTGTTTAGGATACAATGGAAACTTCTTTTTGAAAACCAAAAGTGGATGATCCAATTGGTGTGTTTTTTCTTGGTAAAAACTCTGGAGGTAGTTCCCTTTTATTTCATTTAAGTGTGCCAACCATCGTTATCTTTTCCTTCAAAAGGTCAATTGCCAACGGATAACTCGTATACCAATTGTCGCATGTTTAATTACGGTTTTTACCTTTCTAAGGTTGAAGCAGGCGATGGGTAATATCCGTTGGTGTGTTAGATTTTGTGTAGGGCCCTTCCGGTTGTTGACCACAATACGCCTCAAAATTGGTGACATAAAAGGTCTGCGCGTCACATAACATAAACACTTTTAAGCCATACTTTGCAGGTTTACTTGGAATGTATTGCACAAAGTTGAATCTACCTCTAAAAGGTATCAACATTTCATCGATAGTCATTTCTTCTCCCAAGGAATAGTAGCTGCTACAGTTTTTCATAAACGTATCAAGAGTAAAGCGAATGTCAGCAAGTTTGTCAACTGATTTTCGGTCCTTGCGAGTATCTTTGTTGTCAAACCTAAGAGCAGCAAGCAAAAATAAAAATCGATCTGCGCTTATACAGGCTCGAAAGATTTCTGAGCCGGTACCATCTTTTGTCCACAATTCGAGGAAGTGTGTATGATTTTTTTTAGTCCCTGCAAGAAATAATAATCCTAATAATGCCATGATTTCCTGTATAGTCGTATCTTTAGCCCGTCTTGGCCGTTCATAATTTAATCGCATTTTTGCAATCTGCAAATTTGTACATTCAACTATATTTTCTATGATTTCATTTGTAAAGAGTTTTTCAAAAGCACTTAGTTCCGTAGTAACATCTCTCGCACAAACTGTTGGCCCAGGAAATATCTTGACAATATTTTTTGAAGGAGTTTTAGTAAATTTGCTAAGAAGAGATTTCTTATAAAATTTAGTTTTTCTGTCTTTTGCTATAAAATATTCATTGTCTTCATCAAGATCTGAACTGTTTTCAATGCTACTGTTTGTGTCCGAGTCAATCGTATATTGATTTTCGTCATTCAGATCAACTTCTGATTCAATGTCGTGCTTCGTTTTTTCTATTAGCTCGTCGTCTGAAGTATCTGGGTCTCCACCAACATCTTCATCAGATTCTTCCTCAAATATAGCTTGAGCCATAGCTCTCAGTTCATCTTCTGAGAGTTTTTGGGGATTTCTTACTGGTACACGATCCCTGCAAAGTAAATATTTTGTAGTACCTCTCAATTTATAAACGTTACGAGAAATATATTATAGAGGCAACGTTTGTAATATTTATTATTTATTTCTAATTAATATTTCAAAGAGACATGACCGTATTGCTATGGAAGAAAGAACATGAAAAAACAAGACCACAAAAACAACTAGAAGGTCGTTAAATAGTCCAATAATAGGTACTCACAAATATCCAAATAGATAACGGTATATTAAGTTATGAGAAAATGCTAAAATAAAATATTTGATCAAATGTATTATCATAAAACTAGTTTTATTATAATAAAATGAAAGTTTTATTACAATTTTAATAACAAATTACAAATTATTTTATTCAAAACGTTGCAAAATATCTAGCTTTTGTTACATATAAGTCGCTATATATTAATAATGCTATTTTTTAGTAGATAAACGTAATATAAATCTCACAAAATTTACTTACATAACTAGGTGCTTTGTGTACTACGTACACCACTGGTAAACTTCTCCTGAATTTTTCCAACCGTCAGTCTACCTCTGCAGAAATCAATTTTACAACTGTTGAGTTTTATAGCTAACGCATCAGTGATATGTTAGGTAGAGGGACACGTGCGCAACCAGTGCTTATCAGAAATAGCGGCCAATTTAGTGCGACTGGTGTACTGAGTACACCGTAGCTCGTAGTTAACCCTTAAACGGCTAGCGTTACCATATCGTAACGGTAGACAACCTCATTTTAGAAGTGGTAACACAGCTTTTGGTTCCATCGGAATGAGTTGGTTATTTTTCAACACGCTTTTAGTATGTGAATGAACACATTGTTGGGTACAACGTCAACGTAAAATCTTTTTGGCAGTTTTATTCAAATTTTAAAAATTGTGGTAACAGTTACGAGCTTCCAAAGATGGACATTCGTCTAGAGTAAGTATTACTAAAACTTCTTTTTTGAATTGTTAGGAAAAATACTTACAAAAGAGTATTTATAGATAGTTATTCTTCAGTTCTAGACCAAATTTTGTTATGAAAGTATTTCAAGTTCTATAATGTAACCTCAGAAATATTGGCGTTACCGTATGGTAACGCTAGCTGGTTTAGAGAGACAAAAAATATTGTACGTGTATAAATGTCTTGCGTGTTGAGTATGTGGTATATATGTGATCAGAAAAGCTAGGACTCTTGTTTATGTACTAATAATTGTCTAGTATATTCATTTGTGGAATTGAACTACTTGTGACCGAATCAAGAAAATACGCACTTTTCTGCAATAAACCGGATCCAAACATTTCTAACGAAGAAATGAAATGTGTAATTGGGATTATGATTGTTACAGGATATAATGAGTTACCTGGAAGGGACTTTTACTGGGATTTCAAACAAGATATGAAAAATATTTTAGTCACTGAATCTATGAGAAGAGATCGGTTTCGCCAAATTTTAAAATATTTGCACTGCGCCGACAACACACAGCCTGTACATGGTGACAAAATGTGGAAGCTACGCCCACTGATGGGCCTTTTGAAACGCCGCTTTATTGACAACTGGATACCTGAACAGAACTTGAATTACGATGAGGCTATGATCAAATACTTTGGGAAGCATTCATGTAAACAGTTTATTCGGGGTAAGCCCATCAGATTTGGGTATAAAATGTGGTGCCTAAACTCTGCTTCTGGTTATTTGGTGAACTTTGATATTTATCAAGGAAAAAACCCAAAGTCAAACACTAGTTACGAAAGCAATTTTGGAAAATGTGCTGCTCCTCTACTTTGCATGATAGATGAATTTTCGGATGATATAAAAAAGCTCCCGTTCACATTTTACTTCGACAATCTCTTCACAAGCTTAAATTTGTTATATTCCTTGAAACAAAGAGGGTATGATGGTACGGGAACTATGAGGGAAAATAAAATTCCTACAAGTTGTGAGTTACCTAAAAAAAGTATTATTTCGAAATCGAAAAAAGGGGAGACACGATATCTGTCATCGACAAAGAAGATGCAATAATATTAGTCAAGTGAAACTTCACTAGTCAAGTGCCTAGTGAGGCACTGACTTCATGGACCAGCAGATATCCAGATACAGGATTTCAATTCGTAGAAAGAAGTAGTGGTGGTCAATTTTTACTTGGCTACTAGAAGCTGCTATAGTCAATGCTTGGTGTATATCCAAGAAGTGTAAACATCAAACACAGCTTACCCAACTAGAATTCAGACGAGAGATTGCTCAAGCCTATCTGATAAAATATGGCATGGCTTCAAAAGGTGCTAGAAGACCTGCGGCTGCTAAATCAAGTTTATCTTTTAATAGGGTTTCGGATAACTTGAGATATGACAGAACAGACCATTTTTTGATAAACATCCCCAATAATAAGAGGCGTCGATGTGCTGGAGAAGGTTGTAGCTCAAGTATTCGTACTATATGTGTCAAATGTGATGTAGGATTATGTCTAGAGTGCAATATAATGTTTCACAGCCCAAAGTGATAATTTTCTTGTCCAAAAATTTTTTGTATACCCTAACCGGCTAGCGTTACCAAAACGTAACGACTATTTTTTTTAAAATTACATATATTTTGAGAAAAATACTTGTACCAATATGTTTGATAAAGTGTTTTGACCAATATTTATGATTTTTCCTTTCCTTTTTTGCAAAAAATAAATTTCGCCGTTGAAGGGTTAAAGGTTAAATTGCTACTGGATTGTATCGCCGTATAATATAAAAATGGTTTACATAATACATAATGGACACCTTACATAATACATAATGGATGGAC